TAAGCATGTGCATGACACCAGGCTACTCGATGCATGTGAGAGTCTAGAAATAGCAAAATGTAAGAACAGCATGAATGGCGATAAGGGACCCATCCCGTTTAGCCCGCTTTTTAATCTTCTGTTAGGAAGAGAAACACCAGGCTACTCTATGCATGAGAGAGTCTAGAAATAGCAAAATGTAAGAACAGCATGAATGTCGATAAAGGACCCATCCCGTTTAGCCCGCTTTTTAATCTTCTGTTAGGAAGAGAATAATAACTAAGAACTTTCAGGTAGTTAATTACCAAGAAATTTCATATTGGACTTCAGGTATACAACCAGACTAGACTAGGTATAAATTTTCTTCTCCTGAGGATGCTAACTTTGTTGGCGAAACGCGCGTCAAGTGCAAAAATATCAGTTTGGTGTTAGGGCAATTGATCTCGAAAAAAGTTATTCAAATTTCATACCAAAGGTTCCAATCTCATCGTTATTCGTTCTTGAGTAGTTACACCATCACTTAAAGTATTATTTGTGCCGTTTCGGGTAAAATATATGATTTGTGTCTTGTTTTTGTTCAGTTTGAGATTTTGAGATATAAATTACTCCTCCAGAATCTTTAGCTTGAAAAAAATATTTGCCTGAAGGTAGTTGTGATCGGTTGAACTGAAAACCACATAACCTAGATTCATTTAAACGAGTTCAAGGCAGTATCATAATTTATCCATTTATAGTGTTATAGGAGTGAATCGCGGTGAATATTTATCAATATATTTCTGAACATTCAGTAGTTTTAAATAGGTTATTAAAAAAAATAATGTATCTATTTGGGGTTCCGAAGAAATTAATTTACATGAGTATAATATGTTGTGTACACCGTTGATACTTCTGACAATTTTTTTCTGTATTGTAGATACTCTATTCAGATGGCAAAGATCTGTAGTGGTCAAACAACGCATAGTATGCAGTTAAACCTGCTGACTGATTCACAAGCTGTTGATTTTTTTTTTTTTAGCAAATATGGCAGTACTCAATTTCTATGAAATGTGACATATATATTCCTGGCAAGTATCCTATCAATATCCACCCCTAAAAATCTAATAAATTCATCGTTTGCTTTAACAGACTGTGTCAAATATTATTGTTCTAGTTTTGCTTTCATTTAATATGAGTTAATTAACTGTAAACGACCCCTTTGCATTCTTTCATATGTTTTTAAGACTTGGTACATTGTCCTCACTTTGGTAGAGACTTACTACTATTGTGGTGTCATCTGCATACATTACCGTAATAACATTGGGATTTCAAAAAGTATTTGGTAGATCATAATTATAGATAATAGAAAAAATAAGACCAAGGGCCGACCCTTGGGTGAAACTTATTTGCCCATCAATGCACACCATTTGTCGTCTGTTATCCAAGTAGGACTGTATTAGTTGAAGACAAATGCTGCATAGTCCATGAAATTCGTACTTCTCTAACAAAATTTCATGAGATACATTCAAAGACAGAGCCATGTGGAGTGAATGTAAAAGAAAAACAAAAACATAAAAAAAGGAAAACATTAAAAAAAAAATAAAAAATCGCTAATCGAATGTACGTAACCCACAAAATTGAAACATTCACCGTATTTAACAGACCTCGTATATTAAAATCCTTTGTTCACTGAACTCACCTGATCATCTTTACATGGTTTTGGAATCACATCCCCTCCTTCACTATCAGAAATAACGTGCAATAAAAGATCAACTTTTACTTTTGTCTGCGTTTTGGATTGTCCATGCTTATTCTTACGGCCAGGTATAATTTCACTCACTTTTTTGAAATTCACAACTGCACCCCAATCATATTCAGCCTCTGNCCAAGAAAGTGTACGCAAAAGCGATTCGAGACGTTTTTCCTATTGATGAGGTAGATAATCCAAATTCGAGAAAACAGGAGTATATAAATTTAAGTGTAGAACGTGTCCTAAGATATATATTGGTCAAACTGGCAGAACATTTAGGAATCGAATCCAGGAACATCATATAAGCTATGTAAATAAGAAAACGTTATCTTCCGTTAGGTCTTTCTCCTGAAGATGATCATTTGGTGATCGAAACACATGTCGAGGTGTTAAAATAACGGTTTGGTATTGAGAAAAAACTCCAGGAATATTCATTACTACACTAAAGGTTCCAAACAGTTCATGACAAGTTTGCTTTGTTGGCTCTACCACTTCATATTTCAAAAACAACCGATAATATATTCAATCTGACAAGAGATTATTCTAGTTCACCAAAATAGGCAATATTTTTCGAATTCAAACGGCCTTGTAGGTCTCACCCTTAATAATGGGATAATGGGATCAGCTAAAGAAAACGGCCTGTATAATAAATATTTGAGCACACCTTTCTTCATAGTCTTTACCAATTACAAAAATTCGATCATACCTTAACTGTTATTTGTTTCAAGTACGTTCATTTGATATAGGCAAAATACAAAACCAAAACAAAATAATAATTTTAATGGTTATTTGCTCAAAATGATAAATATACAAATAACTCGATAATACCTATATACATCAATTTGGAAATAAACACACTGCAGTCTCACAAAAAATACTGTACATGGGAATTATATTCTGAAATTTTTTTAATCTAATTACATCATTGTTTAGAATATTTTTTTTTATTTATTTATCCATATTCAGCGATTTGTGTTAGCAAAACACAAAAATCTACTTATGTACACATCAAGGAAATAATTAGGAAGGATATTATACAATCAAGATGAAAGAAAATTGAAATTCTTTTGTACCTGTTTTCTGGCTAATGTTGTTCTAACCTGCATGTCAGCTTTGTTTCTTGTATCGTGATCATGATTGATAAGTTGTAACAGGTGTTTCGACTTATGCTAAAAAGTAACTATGGCTAGGAAACATATCTGTTTTATATCAAATAACTGTGATTATCTGTAAAGGTCACCTGAACAATAAGTAGTAACAATGTTTAGTTAGCCATAAATATTCAGTCGATTCATATTCTTCATTTGAAAATTACCATTTTTCAGTATTAATGTGGAAAGTTTTGAACTGGTAAATGGTAAATATATTGTTTCATCACATTTTTTGGTACAGGGAAGCCATTATGGCGGATGAAATGAAAACTACAATTTTTGATGGAAAAGAATACGACTGCAGGAAAGTGAGAATCATTGATGATTCTGAAGCTGAAAATGTAAATTATGGCAAAAAGAGGAAAGTCAACAACCAATACAGAAGAGGAATGGATTCAAAATGACTTGAAGGCCATGAACGTGATCTACAGTGGAATTTCACATGATCAACTACAGTTTATTAAGGACAAAGAGACGACGTATGAGATAGAGAAAAAATTTGATATGATGTACTTGAAAGAGTCTCCTGCTCTACAAATTTATGAAGAAGGTGAAATCAATATTGCAAAAATTATTTATAAAGAAAATGTAACAGCTATCTTTACCAAGGCTTTAAGGCAAAATAAATTTGAAAAATTTAGAAGCATGTTGAATATGAAGTAATTGCAGATATTACCATGTGTAACACTGAGTTTGTGAAAATTACAATATAAATTTAAGAAGTCGTGGTGGAATAAAAGTAAGTTTATATTTATCTTGTTTTTATCGATGTACGCAAGAGGGCGCCACTGATGTAATTGTACTTGCAGCACAACCATGTATTATACTTATATGTAAATGTGAATAAAATACTTCCCTTTCCGGAAAATTCTAATCGCCATAATCATTTATATAGTTGGTTTGGTTTCTTGGTTACTCTGGTTACTTCCATGTAGTGATCATAATGAATAAATGATCTAAAATGAAGTTGAACTGTGCCGCATTCAATCCACTTAAACAACCAACACAAAGAAACAAAGTTTTTGTTGCATGAAATATTATGACTGATGTACATTTTCGAAATGCTGAATTTTTTATACCAGCTTCAGTTTTTGAGATATAAGAAAAGCGTGATTTTCAAGAAAAAATATTTTAATTTTTTACAATCATTAGAAAAACAAGCGCTATTTTTCAAATAACTTTTATAGAATGTTCTTGCTTGACTTAGTTCCCAAGGGCTATTTTTGATGCTCCAAGTAGTCTGCCATCATATGGGCATCTCAGTGACCCTGGTACTGCTTCTCTATAGTTCGAATATCTTTATGGAACAGTTCCCCCTGTTCTTCACTCAGATCACCAAGATTTCTAGGGAAATGGTGCAAATGGCTGTGTAGGCTTGATACTCATATTACAACCAAGCTGTCGGAAGTGCGACAATATCTTTTCAACATGCTCAGAATAGCTTCCATGCTTTTTTCTGTTTCCCAGGAAATTTTGTGCAATCCACACGAATTTCTTCCAGATATTTTTTCAATATAGTCATATTACTATTGAAATTTTCATCCTTTATCAACCTTCTTACATGGACCATAAAAAAATCCGATTTTCAGTTTCTCTGTACTCATATAATGAAACTTTTCAGAGATTTTGTGAAAGGTTTTGACTTTCTACTTCTCCATCTTGATACAAAAATTGATAACTTCCTTCCTTTCTTTGGAAGATTCCCACATTGATTGCTTTCTTCCTTTTTTTGGAAGATTCACACATTTTTTTGTAACAAGATGGAGAAGTAGAACGCCAAAACTTCTCTTTCCCAAAAAAGTAACCTCTCATGAAAATAAACCCCTTTCAATTTAAACAAGATTCCTTTGGTTAGGATTTAATCAAATAAGCGAATGAATGTCATTACGAATACATCGATGAGATGAGTAGATCAAACTCATTCCGTGACATAAAGTCGTAATTTTATGAATGAATTGTGTATTTTGTCTCATGTTATCCAGATTTGAAAATGAAGAGCTGATAAGGCAAGTATCTTATGGCGAAACATCAAATATCTACCGGTGAGGATGACACTGTTCCGTGTAAGTGAAATTTTACCTCTTTCATTTACTATATTGTCTAAGAATCCTGGTAATGATATCTGATTCGATTCCATAACGGATGTTTGGAATACAAACTGAACAGATAAAAGTTTTTATTTGTATAATTCAGTGTTCATAAAATAGTATTTGTTTCGAAAGTATTTTTCTTTCAAGTATTCAATGTTTATATGAAAGTAGCTGTTTAGAGAGGGCCTTTTCTACCAGTCCGGGTCTGAAAGTTACTTATTTGCATGATCTACACACCTTTGTATAGATTTTATTTTTTAATTGATTGCTTCCTTCCTTTCTTTGGAAGATTAGCTCATTTTTTGTCACAAGATGGAGAAGTAGTAAGCCAAAACCTTTCTTATACAAAAAATTGACCTCTCTAAGAATATACCCCTTCTAATTTATTTTAGAGATGTATCCAAGAAACACTTTTTTGTGAGAAGAAGCTATAGTATAGCGAAACACGTGTTGCGTTTTTGCAAAACTGTTCAGTGAAAATCTCACAATAAAGTGTTTCTTGAATTCGTTATGGATTCTCATCAAGTATCTGCCGATTCCATCACAAATTTTAGAAATGTATTCAAAACAATCACCATTCATATTCAGAGCTTTGACACATTGTTTCATGAGCCCTAGTTTGATATGCAGAGGCGGCAGTATTATGGGATCCCCAAGTACTAGTGATTAATGTATGTAACATTCAGTTTCCCTGGAACCATTACATTACTGGAAGGCCAGTCTTTTCAAACAAAGTGATGAAACTCATCTCTGCTGTCCCACAGATGAATAAAACAAGTATATTTTGTATGGCCCCTTTGTTGTCCGAGCAGCAAATTCACCATTTTTAGATCTACACATATGAGCCACTTGTGTTTGTGGTATTTGATTTTCCACATAACAGAAGCCACGGTAGCATCTTCTTTGAATTTAGTTGAATGTGCTATCGGTAACGAATCCGCTATGCATAGGCACACATTTCAGACTTGTTTAGAGGAATCAATAAATACTCTCTCTTTGTGCCTGTAGTACAAACTTCTTGTTTCTCCGATACTTTCTTACTTTCTTAGAAGGTCAAGGTCCCTGACCAATGCATTGATCTCTTCCTGGTTAAAGGGCTCCGGAGAAATATGTGACCGCTCGGCTACCGGTAGGTCGGTAGCCGGGCGGTTCGACGTGGGTAATAATAATAATAATAATACTGGGGTCTTCTTCAATAACATTGGAGACCTTGGCTTATCAAAGCGCCTGACCTTCGCTTTTCTCAGGTCGAGTGGGTTGAAGTCGGAAACTGAGGGGTTCATCTTGCCAGGATGGTGTCTTCAACACCTTAGTCTACCGCAGTCGCGTGATGGGTATAAAGGTTCCTGACACAAGGTGCAGTGCCTGCGGCGAGGCACTCAAGCGAGTTTTAAAAATAGAAATATTGGCGCAACTAACTATTTTTTTAGGCAGTTTATTAAAAATTCTCAGACTCAAATATTCAGAAGATTTCGAAGATACAACATATTTACAGTAGGGAATGTGGAAATCAGCGCAATTCCTCGCGCTGGATTCTAGTGAACTTATTTTTATTTGTGTATACGTATACACACATTTCTAAAATTAAAATACTCGTCATTGTTAAAATTTTTGATGCTTTAAAAATCGGTCTACAGGATGCTTTGCTTGAGGTATGGCAAATAATTTTTAAAATGCGTTTTTGTACAATAAAAACGTCTGGTGCTCGAGTGGACACACCCCCAGAAACATATGCCATATCGTAATCGGGAGGCTACTTGTGCATGATATAATACGATTAATTGTTCACGTAACAAAATGTTCTTAAGATTTCGGAACATAAAACATAATGAGTTCAACTTTGAGATTAAGTTGGTACAATGTTCTTTCCAGTTTAAACCAGAGTCTATAGTAATTCCAAGAAATTTAACTGATAAAGTAGGCTCAATCAAGATTTCATCAGTTTTTATTGTTACAGTTTCACATTGTTTTTGGTAGTTGTGGAATCTTATTACTATTGAAATACAGACACTTCTGATCACACCATGAAATGAGGTTACCAACCGCAGTTGTACACTTTTGTTTGAAGGTATTTTCACATTTGTCAGAGACAAATATATTGGTGTCATATCTGCATATCTAATAAAGATGGCAGAAGATTCGATATTATCCATGTCATTTGTGTAGAATAAAAATAAAATTGGCCCCAAAACAGAGCCTTGGGGAACGCCCATAGAGATATTTTGATATGCAGATTAAGTGGAAGATATACTAACAAATTGTTTTCTGTGTGTCAAGAAACTCTGTATCCAGTCGAGTGAAACTCCACGAATACCATATTTGTACAATTTAGACAAGAGTACCACATGCTGAACGCAGTCAAATGCCCTGCTGAGATCACAGAAGATCCCAACAGGGCACTCACCTGATTCGATTGCTTTGATCAATTTTTCATAAAATGACAACACCGCACTCTGAGTTGAGCGTCCTGGCACGAAACCATGTTGGTTATCTGAGAAGATGCTATGACTTAATGCAAAATTCATAAGTCTTCGGAGATAAGAATATTCAAAAACCTTAGAAAAGCAGGATGTGACAGTAATGGGCCTATAATTTTCAAGATTTGCTGGATTTTGCTTATTGTATACTGGGATGACTGCCGATTTTCAATAAAGATGGAAAACACCCACAAGTGAAAGAAAGATTAACTAGATGAGATAGAGGCGAAATAATGTGACATAACACCTTCTTCAAAATAAATGGGTGCTTTGTTCACTCTCTCAATCGATCGATGTATGAGTCGGTGGTTCAAGCCGTAGGCTGAACTATCGATTTTCACTTACTATCGTCCAACCCGTGTTAGGAATCACACGTTAAAAGGTAGGCATATGCTTGTGGCATAGGCGCATCGCTAGAGTACAGGATTGGTCGAGTAATAGATAACCTTTTGGACCGATTTCTTTTATAAATTCCCTTCATATCAACCACACAAAAATAACAATCATTCTGATCTTTTGAGGGATCCCGTCAGATTATATGTTTGTTTGATAGTTGAAAATGGGTCTTTTCTTATTTGCCCATAATCTCCAGGACTCCACTCATGTGGACCCATTAGAAACCTAGTACCTTGTCACGGGTGTCTATAGGAAATCCAAAGTAATCAAGATAAACGCATTTTAGGAACTCAGACACACTTAGTCTACGATTTTCCAATGTATATTCACCACAGATGTTACAGAAATAGTTGTGATCTTTTTCTCAGATATTTCTCGATGTAGACATTGTAACAAAAAATGAATTTGTAAAAAAATCGCTGAGTTTTATGAAAATTGAGTGTAAGTGGTACCCTAATATGGTCAGTAGCTGTATCTCAAAAACTAGAGCTGTTGGAAAACAAAGGGGGGAGATTTGAAATCAGCGACCTCGAATTAGTCAAAAACAGCCGTGAAATTCCACGCAATGAAAAAACAATTGAATTTTGTTCCTTTGTGTAATTTGACAGAATCGATAGTCATCAAAACTATTTAAAGGATTTCCTGTTGGAATATAATTCAAATATTTTCTGAATTTTCTAAGAGGAAGAATCTTTATATATGATGGTAATATATTGAACAGGTTGATTTCAATATAGATAGATANATTTCTATGAAATGTGACATATATATTCCTGGCAAGTATCCTATCAATATCCACCCCTAAAAATCTAATAAATTCATCGTTTGCTTTAACAGACTGTGTCAAATATTATTGTTCTAGTTTTGCTTTCATTTAATATGAGTTAATTAACTGTAAACGACCCCTTTGCATTCTTTCATATGTTTTTAAGACTTGGTACATTGTCCTCACTTTGGTAGAGACTTACTACTATTGTGGTGTCATCTGCATACATTACCGTAATAACATTGGGATTTCAAAAAGTATTTGGTAGATCATAATTATAGATAATAGAAAAAATAAGACCAAGGGCCGACCCTTGGGTGAAACTTATTTGCCCATCAATGCACACCATTTGTCGTCTGTTATCCAAGTAGGACTGTATTAGTTGAAGACAAATGCTGCATAGTCCATGAAATTCGTACTTCTCTAACAAAATTTCATGAGATACATTCAAAGACAGAGCCATGTGGAGTGAATGTAAAAGAAAAACAAAAACATAAAAAAAGGAAAACATTAAAAAAAAAATAAAAAATCGCTAATCGAATGTACGTAACCCACAAAATTGAAACATTCACCGTATTTAACAGACCTCGTATATTAAAATCCTTTGTTCACTGAACTCACCTGATCATCTTTACATGGTTTTGGAATCACATCCCCTCCTTCACTATCAGAAATAACGTGCAATAAAAGATCAACTTTTACTTTTGTCTGCGTTTTGGATTGTCCATGCTTATTCTTACGGCCAGGTATAATTTCACTCACTTTTTTGAAATTCACAACTGCACCCCAATCATATTCAGCCTCCGGAGTTTTTATCTGAAAGGACATAACTTTATAACACAGCATTATTTTAATGTGAACCATATAAAAAAAAATCTTTGAAAAGATGTTTTTTTCAGATTTTTTTAACAAATTTGTTAGAATGTAATAATTTCATACCTTTAACAATCTACCAGGTTGTAAAAAAGGTATCAAGTATTCAGATTTAGTTAAATACAACCTAAACTGAGAACCCAAGGTATCCAATTCTTGTCTGATATTATAGTATGATGAAATTTGATCCTCACATTGTACTTGGAATTCATTGAAAATCTTCAATTTATTTTGATAATCTATAAAAAATTAAGAAGTTCAAACAAACCGAATAAAAGTGATACATTAGTTTAAATAAGTGCTAGAAAAAAAAATTCACCCTCATAAAGCCCAGGAATGGCAGTTTGATTTTGAAACTGAAAAAAGGATCTCTCCAGCATGTATTCAGGGTTGATATCTTCTACTCGCAACAAATTGAGGACCATGTTATAAGTTAAATGAAAAGCAGAATTGATCGCATCAGGCAAACCCTTGACAATATCCCGGCCTGCAGCAGGAGGAACTTTTTCATCCACCATCAAAATTACAATACCTGAAACGAAATGGTTATCCGATAAGAATAGAAGAAAACTTTTTTAATCAGTTTTTAAAGTTAGGTATGTTTAGTTGCCACTAATCTTATTCCAGAGTTATTCTCTCTCTCTCTAATCGATGTATGATGATCAAGCAGAGATAGCAAATAAATTTTGGCAGGAATGATCCAACACTCGAAATGGAAATTTATTGTTTACAAATATTGTACTATATAATTGCACTGTACCCAATCTGAATTTATACATTATTTTAATATAATATCACAAATATGTAAATAAATAAAAAAAATAAATAAATATTGTAAATATCAAAGTGAGAAAAGATACTTGTTTGAACACTTATCAAATTATGAAACATTTTCAAGAAATTGATAAAATTGGAATTAGTGGATGGTATTTTCCTTTTATTAATGAACTCATGAAATTTGTTATTGGGAATATACAGTCAACTGAAAAAATAGTTTTTGACAAAAATCTTAGTGAATAATATAACAGAAAGACCATGAAACAAATATTCTACCCTAGCTATTCTTTCTATAAAATATAAACAGCTGTTTGCTGTCTTTTTCTACAATAACAAAATTGGTTAATATTTGGATCAAGTGTTTGGAACAATTTCATAGCAGTTTCAATTATAAACTTTTTAAGTTACCTAAACAACTGTTCAGCTGGCAAAAATAGAAACACTGTTATATTTCTATAGCTGAGCAAAGCTTTGAATACATACAATCAATTGTGTACATTATGTAATGTGCCTTTGTGTTTAAATTCAAAGAAGAACTGTTTTGCAGATTATCGTAAATAATGCATATTATATAAAGATTTTTTGTACTTCTGTACTTACTTGTTCGCTACATAGTGGTACACGTAAAGTATCACCTATTTTTTTCAAAATTAAAGTTGAAAGAAATCAAATGTGTGTTGAAATATCAATCTTCATACAAGGTCATAACAAATAAAAGTTTTAGTAGAAATTAGACAAAAGTTATTTTTCCCCTATCCTATATTCGATAATAGATAACATAACTGAAATGAAATATTATTATTTGTTCACTCGATATCATGTTGAACATACATGAAAATCGTTAATTGAAAATTCCAGATGTAGATGTAATTTTTCCGAGTATTAGGTATATCAAAATGATATATACACTTTCGGTTTCACCGGAAATGAATTTTTAAATAAAAGATCATCTCATAAATTTTAACATTTTGGTTGGAAGTTACAATGGTTCATGATACTGATTCCAACCAAAATTCATATGCTGCTTATTCCTACTCTAACCACTGTAAACTTTACAGTGGTTTACAGTGTAAAGAGAAGAATTCTAACTCCACCAATTGAAGTGAAACGTCATAAACCTTTTGTCCCACTGAATCTTCAAACAACAAACGCAAGTCATATGCCAACTTGTGGGATAAAATTTTTTCTACATTTGTC